TCATACGGTTTATGTCTTATACTGAAGGTGAAACGACCGTTCGTGTGTACTTTGTTTTCTTACCTGGTATTTTTTTTTTTTTTTTGCAGATTTTAGCAAGTGCAATATCGACTTCAATATGTGTTCCTCCCAAACATGACAGAATACACAATCACAACTCCATAAATTTAATATTATGCAAATACTTATTATTGCTTTTCTTGTTCAAAACAGGAATACATTTAAAATTAGCAAGATCATCTTGGTCATCTTTAGCCACAAATTGAAGATTACTACCTCGCTCAAATTTTAAATAGCGTAAATGACTCCATTAACATAGAACATGTAAAATAATAAACAAACTCTAATTATCCTATCATCAACAAATTCAATTTTTGTCTTATAATATTGTTCACCAGTATAATTACTATTGCACATTTAACTCACTCGATAATTTCATTTCATGTGGTGCAGAAAAGCAGGTAACACTGAAGACTGGAAAAAATGATCAACAATGCATAGAAGGTACTTTCAATTGAAAAGGTTGCTTTAAATATTTTGGTATCTTTTTTACTGTTACCAATGTAAATACTCTAAAGTGACACAGAACACTACTTGCACAGTGGCTGTCACTAATATATAAAACATATTTTATTATCAATAAAAAATAGTCTTCTTAAATGCATTTCATTTTAACTATCACTTGCACATTATTTACTCATCGATTCTAATTCATTAAAGATGCATCTCATACTACTAGAGCCTGAACATACTCACAATAAGCTACAGTACTAACCTGAAAGCCCTCTATTGCATTCTGTTCTTCTTCAATTTTTTTTTTTTAAATTTATACATATTTTTTTAACTTTCAGCAGAGTCCACATGGCCTTTATATAGTAGTTTGGTTTATTTAATTGATTAACTGGTTCAATAAATATGTCCTTAAACTTGCAACAGAGGCCAAGTATGCCTTTTGTGTTTGTGCAAAATATCTCTCTTTTACATGTATTATGTAGGCTTGAGAAAATTATGTAGGCCAGGTATGCCTTTTTCTTTTTGACTGGAAAGTGCTGAGGTACTTCCGGAAGATGACCATAACTGGAGAAAGATGGAAAGATAGTGAAGGAGGCTCATGAAAGGCTCAAGGTATGTGCTGGATGATATTTCTCTGCTTTTTACTTCAATTTTACTTGTACAAATCTGAAAAATTACACTAGCTGTTTGTTATGATGTCATTTATTATATTGATGCTTCAAATGGAAATAATTTTCACTTTCTTAATCAACTAGGAACTTTCAGACTTGGGATGGGGAATTGATTGACTGGTATGTCAGTGAACACAACTGTGAAATTGGAGTAAAAATTTGTTATGCTTTACTGCATACAAATATTTAGCATTGGATAAATCGATATTTGACATATTTGAACTGTAGTAAAATTACACCTATCCACATGTTAAGAAAGGATGTCTATCCACAATTGCTTATTGTATTTCACTATAATATTATTGAAGAGCGACTTTGTTTGTACACAAGAATCATTTTTCATGTAATTTTGTCAAGGTGCAAGGTATGAGTCATCATCATTTACAATTGTGGATTGTTGTTGGCTTTTAGCATTTTTTATTTGTCCGAATTTTTCTTCTTTTGATTATTTGATTTTCATGCATTCTGGTCGTATTTTGAGTAAACAGTTGGTGTTATGCTTTTATGTTGGTCTGTTTTAGTGTTTTGAATTGTAGAATTGTGTTGGGTCTTTTAGGATATGGAAAACATCAAATGCTATGTGTTTTTACTCTTTTTTTTTTCATTATGAAAAAAGATTGCATTTTTATTTAATTATAATTTATAGTAAACAATGATTGTTAGTGTTATTTATTTTGTTAATGACGCATTGGAGAATATTTTATGTCTTGGATTTCACATTTGTCTTTGATTTTGTGACTCTTCTGCATCTAATTGTATTTACTCAAGTTTCCANAATTAAACAATTAAGAACTTGTCTTTAAATGGTAACGATGTTTTCTCTTCTCAGGCAAAATCAGTGCACCGTTGATAATTTTTAAGATATTCCCAATACCTTCAGCTCCTGATTCATTCTGTTTTGGAAATTTTTTGTGAGTATTCAAGTGAGATCATATTATCTTACGCTGGTCTGCATGTTTTATTTGCGGGACAAAAAATTGGTGAAGGAATAAGTAGAACAAGAAGGGAAGCACAGAATGAGGCTGCTCAGGGATCTCTTACGAACTTGGCTGGTAAGATATTAATTATAGTATTCTTGATAGTTGAATATACATTTAGCTACTGTACATAGCTTGACTATTTTCTGTATCGCAGTTCAATCTCTTTTGCATTCATTCACTTGCCTTGAGCAAAATAAAAAAGAAGTAAAACAATGCTAGCAACGAGATTTTACAGTACTAGCACATTACTTTTGATTTTACTTGATAAAATTTCACTTTATCTAGCACAGCGAGTAATGAGGTCATGGTTTAGACAAAAGTTCTACCTTCTCAATGTAATTTCATACATATATTTCTGTGAAATTGCTTGAGAACTTAGCTGGTTCCCTGCCTTTGAAACTTGAGATTTGGCATGTTCCCTTTCTTATCCTGATTTACTTATATTTGTTTTTTTCTTTCCTTTTGGTGGAGGTTGGGATGTGGTGATTTCAGTTGGGAGCCAGCTCCGTCCAAAACAAAGTTGGACCGTCCAAAACAGAGCTGGACTGTCCAACTTCGTGCAGAGCGGAGCTGGGAGCCAGCTCAGTGCTGCACGGAGCTGCGTAGTGATTTTTTTTTAAACATATACTTAAATTGCGACTTTGAGCCTGTTTCGTCCACATTTTTTTCATTCTCATTCTTCTACTCATTTTCAACCACACATTGTTCAATAAAATAATATTTTCCATTACATCATTAACTTAAAAATGCATTCTTATTGCACCAAACGGGGGCTGAGTAAGATTATACCATATATTTAATATATAATTTAAATTTAAATATGTTAAATT